GAAGCCAAACCCGACCCGGTGGGTAGACAACCATCGCAAAATTCAGGCTCCCGCACAGCCCCTCGAGCAACCGCCGGGTGACCCGAGGGGCCCACCAGAAACAGACGAAGGTGGGACCGCAGCCGCAGGAGAGACTCCGGAGGGAGAGACAAGGAGGCGGTCCGAGAGCCCCAAACGAGACCCAGCCAAGTCCGAACCTGAGAGGAGACCAGATGGGACTTCCTCCAGTTCACCAAGAACCCGAACCCGGCAAGCTGAGAAAGAACCAAATCCCTGGCTATCAAGCAAGCTGACCGGCTGGGAGCCCAAACCAGCCAGTCGTCGAGGTAGGTCAACACCCGAACACCTAGGAGACGCAAACGGGCCACCACAACCCGTGTACGGCGCGTGAACACACGAGGTGCCAGGTTCAACCCGAACGGGAGACAACGAAAGTGGTAACTCAGACGCCCCACAACAAAACCGCGCCAGTCCCTGAACCGTGGATGAATCGGGACATGCCAATAAGCGTCCCGGAGGTCCAGGGACACCATCCAAGCGCCCGGCTCCAAAAAGTCGAACCTGAGACAGCGTAGTCATCCGAAAGGAGGGGCAATGAACCCAGGGGTTCAGACGGGACAAGTCCACAATGAACCGCAGGTCCGCGCAGTCCCGTTTCGGAACCGGAAACAGACAGGAAACCCATCTGAGGGACGACGCCCAAGCGTACCCACTCCAAGACGACTCGACAGAGCGCAGGGGAAGAAACCTGCCCTGCCCACCCCGACCCCCCCCCCAAGGGGGGAGGGGCCACCCAACGCCACCGCAGGCCGATAGACACGACCCGAAAGGCCCACGAATCGTGGGACCAGGTGTGGGCGAACAGTGCAAGCCGCCCCCCCATCGCTCCATCAATGGGGCAAACCACGAAAGGGCCGGCGACTCTTACGAGACCCAGAACCCCGCACAGAGCGAACACCGCGCCGACCAGACGAGGGAGGGTCCGGAGTAGGAGCCGAACCCGAACCTAACACCAGTGGCTTACCACGACGAGAGGAACCCCGAGCCCTGGCACGACCCTTCCGGGAAGACCCACCCCGGGACCCCCGGAAAACCAACAAGTCCGACATCGGACGACAAGCCGACAACGCAGCCTGAATAAACTGCGCCACGGCTGACTCATCAAACAGAAGAGGACAAAAAGGCGAAGAATGCCTAAGAGCCAGAGCCCAAGCAGATTCCACGGAGGAACCCAGCATCGTCTGCAGACACGCGAGAAGGGAAGCATAAAACAGGGAAACCGCATCCCGCAAAATCGGTGTGAACAGCTTCAACAAGGCAGCCGACGAATGCGCTGCCGAGGACAAGGTGCTGGACCCCGGGATGGATCCAAGCGACCTCACATCCTCCACGAGCCAATCCGAGGACAGCTCCAGGAGGGAAATGAACCGCAAGGCCGAAGCCAAAAGGCCCCGGGTGCGCAAGTCCTCCGCAATGAGCGCCGCCGAAAGGGTGGGAACCTGCACATGGAGCTGAATAAGGCCCACATCGCGGGGAATGGCAGGGGCAAACAAGCACTCATTCAGGTACTCAAGATCGCCCCCCAGGAAAACCTGAAGCACCATGGAAGCTTCCCGCCACTCCAGCGTGCGGGAATGACAGAAGGAATGCCAGGAATCTAGAACAAACAAGGGGCAGTCCGCTAGCCAGGAAGACTCCGGAACCTCGTAACGGAGCCAGAAAGGGAACGAAGTCCCAAACCCGAACTCGGACGGATCCATTTCTGAGGCATAATCCGGGTCACGCAGGAGGTAAGCTGCAAAGGCCGCCCGCACCACACCAGGTTGGATGCAATAAGCCGAAAACCTCCGGAAAGACGGAACCGACGTACCCAGGGGAACACAGAACCGAACCCGGGGAGGGGCCGACACCAAATCCAACTCGTACGCAGAGGGGGGAAAAGAAAACCCCACTCCTTGTAACAATAAGCCCCGCTCAGAGGGAAGAAAAACCCAGACGGGGTCCAGTAGGGCCCAAGGCCCCCAAGTCAGCCCCTTCCCAGCCTCGAGGTCCTTCACCACAGGACCCGGGGCCGAGTCCTCTCCCCAAGCCCCGACCCCACAAGACAAGGACGGAGCAGCCGTAGAAGCTGGAGGAAGGGGGGCCCACTGGTCAGACCCAAAAGCTTTGGCCGGGAGACAAGACTCGAATGCCTCTGCCGTCCCCCCGGAAGGGGCACCCCCCGAAGCTGCCCGAGTCTCGAGATCAAGTAATCCCTGCTCTGACCCCGAAACCCTCAGACGCTTTGGGGCCGGAAGCAGGGAGGGGGGGGGGGGGGACCAGAACGAACAGAAGGGGAAGGACGAGGAGGTGAGGACTGAACCAGGATCGAAGCAACCCCCACCTCCAAGTCCGGGTCTCGAAAAGCAAAGCGGGGCAGCCCCGGGGCATCCGGGTGAGCAACCAACCGAGCGCGTTGCAACAGACGAAACCTAGACTGCAACGCACGCGCTGCCTGTACCTGAATAGAATCATCAGAGGATTGGGTAAATTGAGTCACAAGCAAGCAGCAACACTCACAGGACTCAGGGTCGAAAGTATCACCGACCCAGCAGGCAGCGTGGCAGAGGCAAAAACAATGAGGGTCACCCTGAGATAAGGGGACCGAGCAACCTCTCAAACTCGCACACAGCGAGCGGGGACTCCAGGGTCACATCCATCGGACCCACGCGCCCCCTAGGGGATTCCCAGGGTCCTGAGCGTTTACTTTAAGAGGACTCGTGCTCAGGTAGTCCCAGGCAGGGCGCTGCTAACCGGCACCCAAAACTACCAAGCGAACTTCTATAGCTGTACCCCAGGGACGTGTACACTCACGGGGACCTAGCAGGGGGCGCCACGAGGAGAACCATGGAAGGCCAAAAACTTGTGGAACAAGAGGGCAGAACCCCCTACCACGCATAAACAAAAAGAAAAACAAAACCCCGCAAGAGGACAGCGAACCCCAAGGAACAGAGCCGGCCGCTATGTCAGAATACAAGCTGTGCAGCACCCTGCGCCCCTACCAGTGCAAACTGCCTCTTACCTGCCGGTAACAAGGGAGAACAGAACACCCAAGAGCACAACATGCGGCTGAAAAAAACAAAAAAGTAAAACGAACCAGCAGAGGCAGACCCCGAGGAGCCTGTAGAAGGAGGCCCCAAGCCCCAAGGGCAGTACTTACAGGGCTCCTAGGGAAGGAAGCCCTAGGCGCATGCAGCCCGAGTACTGAAGATAACTCCTGGCTCTCGCACCCACAAAAACCAACACCACACGCAAAGCACAGTGCAGTAGCGACACTGGAGCCAGAGCACACGACCTTCGCCTGTAGCATCAGCCTCAAGAACTGAGGTGTGGGTAGCCAGCGTGGAGGGTCTGGGGCTCCCCCTTCCCCCTCCTGGGGAGGGGGGAGCTGCGCAGACAGCGGCGCGACGACGTGTGACGTCACACTAGTTTGCTTGTTTTTCTGTTGGGGAGTTCTATCCACTAGTTCGGCTTTTGGTAGCAATTTTAACCAGAATAGGGGTTTGTTTTGAGGCGCTTACCTTTCTGGGTGCCTGTTCCGGTCGATGGCAGACATAGAATGCTTCCAACCACACGGGGGGTTTCTATAGGCTATTGCTCCCCTTGCCTCTTTGAGGGGGCCCAGTTCTGGTCGTGGTCCCCGGTAGGCCTAAGAACTCCATACACATGACTGATGCCAAAGTCTGACTGACATTAGCATATCAGCCTGGGAAAGCTCCCCAGAAAAACAGTTGAAACAATTTGAAAAACGGACAAATGCCATAAAGGTTCGTTCAGTGTCGATCAAAGAAACTGAGTAATTCGTTACAGAGGATCTTCCAGATCGAAAACCAAATTGAATGTCTGAAATCATTTTTTTTCCTCAGGTGTTCTACCCAATTATTTTTTATTATTTTTCCAATATTTTGACTATTACACTTGTCAATGATTCAGGTCTATAACTGAGGGGGTCTTCCCTGCTGCCACTTTTATAGATCGGAACTATGCTAGCCTTTTTCCACACATCTGCTACAAGTCCTGTACACAGGGATGCCTGAAAAATCAGTTGAAGAGGAATGTTGAGCTCAGGTGCACATTCTCTCAGAATCCACTTCATTTTTTGCACTTTGTCTTGAGATACCTCTATGTATTCTGTGGTGTGCACTGGAAATGGTATTGGGTCCAGCTCTCTGAAATCCTCATTTTGTACAAATACACTTTGGAGCTATCCATTTCAGTGTTTCATGCATTTATTTTTAATTCTCAGTGAACCTCTTCCCCATTCTCAATCTATGGATTTTATCCTTTAACTGCAGCTTGCCCTTAATAAGTTTATAAAAAAAAGGCCTGAATCTGTTTTAAATTTGTTCGCTACCCCTTTCTCAAAGTTCCTGTCTGCCTCTCTCCTCACTACGGTGTATTTTTTTTTTTTTGCTTACTTGTAATACTGGTATGTTTGAGGGTTAGGCTTCAGTGCTGGTAGGATTCAAGGTTAGTGGTCAGGATGTTGTGCTTGTAGAATGTAGAGGTCAGGACATTGTGCTTGTAGAATGTAGTGGGCAGGATGTTGTGCTTGAAGAATGTAGTGGTCAGGATGTTGTGCTTGAAGAATGGAGTGGTCAGGATGTTGTGCTTGTAGAATGGAGTGGTCAGGATGTTGTGCTTGTAGAATGGAGTGGTCAGGATGTTGTGCTTGTAGAATGTAGTGGTCAGGATGTTGTGCTTGAAGAATGGAGTGGTCAGGATGTTGTGCTTGAAGAATGGAGTGGTCAGGATGTTGTGCTTGAAGAATGGAGTGGTCAGGATGTTGTGCTTGTAGAATGGAGTGGTCAGGATGCTGTGCTTGTAGAATGTAGTGGTCAGAAGTCTGTGTGTATAATGAAGAGGTGATGATGTGGTATATGTAGTATTTTTGACACAGCAAGCTTTACGATACTTTTGTGCTGACTTTAGATAGTATAAACAGTGTTTCTGGCACTTACATAAGCTTTGTTGCAACACGTAACAATGCCTTTAAATTATTCCTCCGGTGTAAAGATGACCTGCAAAAGGAGAGAAAGATTAACAAATTTTTATTGAAAAAATTAATATTAATTAAAATTAACAAAAAGTTTAACAACACATAAAACTGGTTAGTTTTTTAAATCTGTGATAGTCACATTCCTAAAAGTACACTTTGAACTTTTTGTAAAATGCATCTAATACAGTGGAACCTCGAGTGACGAGTGCCTCAATCTACAAGCATTTCGAATACAAGCACGCCACTCGGCAAAAATTTGTCTTGATATTTGTCTTAATACGAGACAAATTGTCTCGTATATCAAGAAATTGTCTTGATATTCGCTTGATTAACAAGAAAAGCACATTGTACAAATCTAGCGTTCCGCTGGTTCTCGCAAATTCTCGGACACCCCCAAAGACGCAAATAACTTTTTTTTTTTAATTTATTTATTTATTTATTTATTTATATACAAGAAGGTACAGTACATTGGGTTTGTGAGAGCACATAGCATGGTATTTACAATCTTGTAAAGCCACTAGTACACGTATCGTTTCGGGTAGGTCCTTAATCTAACAGATAATTTTAAGTAGGTAAATTCTAGCAGAATTAATAAAATAACAGATACATTGCAAGAAAAAAATGAGATGAGAGAGAATAGTAAGTATATTAAAGCACATTGGTATATTAAAGCTCTGGTTGATACATTGACAACTTGAATGGCAATTTAAACATGATTAACAGACACCGTACAGGAGATTGATAACACATATAAGAAGATAGCAATGATCACAATTGCTATCTTCATAACGAACACAATATGGAGACGAAGACCCAAACCTGAAGGAAGACGGATCCATTTTAGATGCGTAATCCGGGTCATGCAGGAGGTAAGCCGCAATGGCCGCCCACACCTTAGTCGATGAGACACTCGAAGCCGAAAACCTCAGGAAAGACGAAACCAAAGGATCCACAGGGACACGGAACCGAACCCAAATCCAACTGGTATGCAGAGGGGGGTGGGGGGGTGGTGAGGAAAACTCCACTCCTTGTAACAGTGCGCCCCGATCTGAGGGTTGAAAAACCTAGGCGGGGTCCAACGGGGCCCAAGGCCCCCAAGGCCCCCAAGTCGGCTTCTCCCTAACCCCGGGAACCTTCACATCAGGCCCCGGAGGGTGAGTCATCCTCCAAAGCCCCGGCCTCACAAGAAAAAGCGGGAGCGGCCGATAAAGCAGGAAGAGAGGGTGCCTACTAGTCAGACCCCAGAGCAACGCCAGGAGGAATGGACTCAAATGCCTCCATCACCACAATGGAAGGGGCTGACCAATGGGCAATCCCCAAAACTGCCTGAGTCTCAGAAACCTCTAAACCCTGCCCCAATCCCGAAGCCCTCAGACGCTTAGGAGCTGGAGGGGGCAGAATGAACCACAGCAAGAAAAAGCGGGAGTGGCCGACAAAGCAGGAAGAGAGGGGGCCCACTAGTCAGACCCCAGAGTGACGCCAGGAGGAATGGACTCAAATGCCTCCATCGCCACAATGGAAGGGGCTGACCAATGGGCAATCCCCAAAACTGCCCGAGTCTCAGAAACCTCTAAACCCTGCCCCGACCCCGAAGCCCTCAGACGCTTAGGAGCCGGAGGGGGCAGAATGAACTAAAGCAGGGGAAGAACGTGGGGGGTGTGGACTGAACCAAGGCCGAAGCGACCAGCACCCCCAAGTCCGGGTCCCTATAAGCAAAGCGGGGCAGACTCAGGGCTTCTGGGGAAGCAACCAACCTAGAATGTTGCAGAAACCTATATCGAGCATGGAATGCCTGAGACGCCTGCACCTGAAAACATCATCAGAAGACTGGGTCAATTGAGTCACAAACAAGCAACAATGCTCACAGGATTCAGGGTCGAAGGCGTCACTGACCCAACAGACAGCATGATGGAGGCAAAAACAACGAGCGTCGCCCTGAGATAAGGGGACAGAGCAACTCTCAAACTCGCACAAGGCGAGTAGGGACCAAGGGGTCGCATCCACTGGACCCTGTGTGCCCCCGCGGGGTTTCCCAGGGCCCCAAGACTGGTAATGCTAGGGTAACCCCAGGCAGGGTACTGCTAACTGGTGCCCAATTCTACCAAACAAACTGCTAAAGCTTAACCCCTGGGACGTGTCCACTCATGGGGGCGAAGCAGGGAGTACCACCAAAAACCAAAAGCAAACCCTAATATAACTGGGGGATGGGACAAAGGCAGCCCCCCCCCCAACCCCCACCAAGAAAAACAAAAAGAAAAGAAAATCGTGCAAGAGGACAACGTACCCAGGAGGAACAGAACCGGCCCCTGTTATAGGTGAAAACTAGCTGGGCAGTACCCTGTACCCTTACCAGCACAAAAGCTACCACTTACCCCAAGGTAAACAAGGAGGAAAACCCCCAACATGCTCGGGGCAGTCAGTCACTGAGCAGCAAAAGACCAATAGAGGTAGACCCAAGGTGACTTGTGGAAGATCACCCCAAGCCCCAAGGGCGATACTCACAGGGCACTCAGGGAAGGGAACCCTAGGCACATGCAGCCTGAGTACCTGTGAATATTACTCCCAGCTCATACACCACTGAAGGATCAGTACTGGACCCAAGGCACAGCACAACACAGAGGGAGTCGGGAGCTGGAGCCACACGACCATGCACAATCACATCAGCTGAAGAACTGGGGATGTGGATCGCCGGTGCGGGTGTCTGGGGGTCCCCCTTTTCCCTGCCAGGGAGGGGGGATGGGGGGAAGCTACGCAGACATGTGGCGCGGCTAGTGTGACGTCATGCTCGTTTGCTCATTTTCATTTGGAAAGTTCTGTCCACTCTTTGTCTATTTTTGTTATTTTAACCAAAATAGGGGTTGGTTTGTTTGTTTTAGGGCACTTTCCTTTCTGGGTGCCTGGCCCGTTCGATGGCATACATAGAATGCTCCAAATCACATGTGCATTTCTATAGGCCATTGCCTCTCGTGCCTCTCTGAGGGAGCTAGGTTCTGGCTTGTGATCCCTGATAGGCCTAGAACTCCATTCACACAGATGCAAAAGTCTAATGATATACATATCAGCCTGGATAGCTCCGGGGAGCCGAAGGAGCTACCCCCCCCCCCCCTAAAAACCAGCGTTGAATGTAATGAAACGCCATTTTCTAGGTGAGACCCGGAGGCTCCCCGGAGCTTTACCAGGCTGGTATGCTAATGTCAGACTTTGGCATCAGTCATGTGTATGGAGTTCTAGGGGCCTACCGAGGACCACGGCCAGAACCTGGCCCCCTCAGAGAGGCAAGGGGAGCAATGGCCTATAGAAACCCCCGTGTGGTTGGAAGCATTCTATGTCTGCCATCGACCGGGTCAAGCATCCAGAAAGGTAAGCATTCCAAAACATACCCCTATTCTGGTGAAAATTGCTACCTAAAGCCGAACTCGTGGATAGAACTCCACAACAGAAAACAAGCAAACTAGTATGACGTCACACGTCACCACGCCGCTGTCTGCGCAGCTCCCCCCTCCCCGGAAGGGGGAGCCCTAGACCTCCCACGCCGGCTATCTACCCATCAGTTCTGAGGCTGGATGTCAAAACACATGAAAACCGCCGACCAGAGGGAGGGAGGGTTGCCGGGGAGCCTCCGGGTCTCACCCAGAAAATGGAGTTTCATTACATTCAACGCTGGTTTTCTGGGGAGCGCCCCGTCGGTTCCCCGGAGCTAACTACCCTCAGAGGAAGGTCAAAGGGACGGAACCAGGAGGCGGACACCACGCACCCCCCCCCCCCCCGGAAGCGAGACAACCGGCAGCAAACGCCAACCCAAGGCACCACAGCCACGAAAAGTCCCGGGAAACACATGAGAACAACAAGCAGCAAGGCCCCCATACGAACACCAAAGATCCATGCCCGAATGACCGCAAGGACACGTCGCTCAGACGGCAGCGAGAGCAGCGAAGCCACGAACGCCATGGGCATGAGGGAAGAACACAGGCAGCTTAGCCGCAAGAACACGGCTGACAACCCAGGACACCATCACCCGCGAACCGGGAAGAACAGAACCGGATCAACGCAAAACGCGCCCCGGACACAGATGCCGTGGCACACAAACAACAGAGGAGGGCTGCCACTGAACACAAAACACGACACACCCCCGGCCCGACCAACCAAACACCAACAAACCATGGACTCCTCCAGAATGCAGCAGCCCCACCCCGCGCCAGAAAAGATGGAGACTGCTGTCACCAAACAACCAAAACGCTAAAACCGAAGGAGCAAGAAAACTCAGCGACCCGACCCCCAGAGGCAAATGCCAAAAGGAAAAAGAGCCGACGAAAAAACAAACCGGAACCGAAGGAGCACTACCAACCGAGGAGAAGACAGAGCACGCTGACCAGAGACCAGGACGGTGCAAGCGGCGCACAAGCAGGCCGGAGGCGAAACGACGCACGAGACAGCTTACTAACGGTGCAGAAGCCACTCCAAGACCGAAAGCAAGCCGAAGCGGCTCCGCCAGCGCCGCACGAAAAGAGGCGACAGTATGTGGCAAGACGACGGACGGCCCCCAACCCCCACCAGAAAACCAAGCCGACGCTAACAAGAGTAGCCACCTAAGAAGGGACAGGAAAAGAAAGGACAGCCAAAATACCCCATACTGCCGCCAAGAGAAGTACGCAGGTGAGACACCTACCATGAAGCCACCCGACCACCAACCGGAGGCGAGACCACAAGGCAGAACGTAAGCAGCCCCAACAAGGTCCCTCCGAGCCCAGGAAAAGGCAGAGCCGCAGGAAGATCTCGGGCGCGACCACCAAAACCCAGGCGACACAAGGAGATGGAACGTCTGCCGAACAGAAAAACTCCCCAAAGCAAGCAAGCCCGCCAGGAGTTCAGAAACGACGGGTTCGACGCGAGACATCGCAAGACCCCCGAAAAAACAACCGGCTGGGCAAGCTAGGAAACCAAAGGCGGAAGGGTTGCCGCCAGAAACAGTACCTGAACCAAGGGGTACGAGCAACTGCAACAGACCAAGACAAAGAAGCACAC